GTCATATTTCATGGTCTCGAGGTTGCTGGAAATGAGACGGTTGGGGCTGAAACAGAGGATTTCTTCGAGGATTCGATGCACTAACCTGCGCCGTATCGCCCAACTATGGAACTCTTGGGCTCTCTGCGAAGTACTATATTTGCCACTCAGCGTGCGGACGGAACTCCCTTTATAGAGGACTATCAAAAATGTCACATGGTCTCGAGGTTGCTGGAAATGAGACGGTTGGGGCTTGAAACAGAGGATTTTTCGAGGATTCGATGCACTAACCTGCGCCGTATCGCCCAACTATGGAACTCTCGGGCTCTCTGCGAAGGATTATTTTTCGCTACACAACGTGCAAGAGGAGCTTTTTAGAGGGACGCTTTCGGCTGAAGTACGAAAAGCTGGTTCTCTGAGGAGTAAGGCTTCTCCCCTAAAATGTACAAATGGTAATCAGTTTTTGCTGTTGAGAGGATTGTCATGCTCACCTATGCTCTATCGACTTGCTTTCTTGTTCACGGCACTTGACGGTGTACGGAAATGTTCAGGGCCATCTTCACTGCAACGTTTGCATAACAGTTTCGGATTGATTGTGGTGGGCAAAGGGAACGTGAAGATATATCTTCTTCTGAGTGCAACCGGTTTTTTCTTCGATGGAGAGCATTATAGCAACACTTCGTTGAACACGATGTTTTTTATCAAGTTACTGGACGATTTGATCTTGATACCACTGGGAGTTCTTGCACGGGATAGTGCTACGTATAGTTGGCCGTGGGAGAAAACATCCTCAGGGAGATAAACGCCAACTTTATTGAAGGATTGTCCCTGTGCTTTATTAATAGTCATGGCGAAAGCCACTCGAACAGGGAATTGTCTTCGGCGAAGTCTGAAAGGAGCTTTCTTGTCCCAATAGTTGTCGATTCGCGGAATGATCGCGAGCTGTCCTCTTCTCTCTCCACAGATGAATCTGCAGCCAATTGTGAAGCGTCCCAGTGTTTCCACCGTCATTCGTGTTCCGTTACAAAGTCCGTTTACCACATCGAGATTTCTAAGTAGCATGACAATCGCCCCTTTCTTTAGACGTAGTTCATGCGGCGGCATCCTGTAGGTGTGAGAGAGTTCAGGTATTCCTGCTGGAAAAGCTGCTCGCTCTGTCCCTCAGAATAAAGGGCTTCATCGATACTCTTGTAAGTGCGTTCGTCTTGTGGTCGCTCCACAGAAAGGCGTTCGAGTGCAGCATCGTTGAGGCGCTGTACGTGCGCATTTTTCGGTGCTAATATGGCAGACTCGCAGAGTTCTGATGTACTGTTAGGGTCGAGAGTCTCTCCGAAAATCTCCGTAACAATATCAGAATAGCACATCATTTCTTCAGGCACCTGGATACATCCATTGGCATCATTACTGTCGCCATTACCAATTCCGAGGAGACGTTCGTGCCAATCATTCTCAGCTTCCCTTGCTCTCATGTTGACTGCCAAGCGGTGGACAGAGAACAACGACCAAAGAATGGATTGGTGAACACAGGCCTCAACGAAGTCCTCCCTTTGTCCATGCTCGACGACTGGCAGGACCTGACGAAAATCTCCGCCAATAATCATGACCTTTCCCACCAAATGGCTCATTGTTCTGCATAATATCTTTCAAGAGAGCGTCAACGGCTTCTAAGGCAGCTTTTGGTGCCATAGAGATCTCGTCCCAAATGATCATATCTGTTTCCATCAGCTCTCTAGCCTCTTTTTGTTGGCGTTTCATGGAGGAGCTTCGATTTCCGTCTCCAATATTCAACTTGAAATATGAGTTCACGGTTCGTCCTCCTGGCAGGAGGTTGGCAGCTATTCCTGTCCAAGCGACGCACGCAACCTTACGCCTTTTTCCGATGGCAATGTTGTAGACGGTGTTGTATAGGTAAGTCTTCCCGCTTCCTCCGGGGCCGTCTATGAAAATACACCGATGCTGTGGTCTGTCCAAAGCGCCTATAATATCATCTGCCGGCTGCTTTTTGCCTTTCGTTTAGAGTGTCATAGCGAAGCAGGCCGATTCTTTCGTGTTCTTCATGATTCACTGTGACAGGTAGTGCCACGGGGCGTTCTGCAACGGGAGGATGAACTAACTCTCTGAGGTCTTTTCCTAAAAGTGCCATACGATCGAGGATGTCGAAGTAGGCCATGGCCTTTGCGCGTTCACGGTCGATCTCCTGGTGCACGTAGTCATCTGACATAGCATCGGCGAACTCGTTCCATAAGTCCTGTGCTTGAACAACTTCACAAAAGCAGAGTAAGCAGGCAAAGAAACTCCGGATACATGCTGCGGACTGGTACTGAGCAGCCTCTTGCAAACTTTGACGAAAATATCTGTCATCGTCCAAATAGCCTGCATTTTTCGCTGCTTCTGCAAAAGTGCTATATGTGGTTCCGTCCACTGTCCGCAGATCTTCAAAGGACATCTTGCCTTTTGTGTTTAGAAGAAGTATTCTGAGGCAGTATCGTTCGTTATCTCGAGGAGAAACAGTGAACATCCTTCCGATCTGTTTTCCGGAGCGTTTTCTAGGGGACCAACCACGACGTGGTTCGAAAGTGAAATACTCAGGGAGCTGATAGTAGTAAAGCTCCCGAGCATCAATTGCAGACTCAGTCCTTACATTTCCATCCTGGGCGTATTGCCTGTTGAGCTCGAAATACGCTGTGAGCGTGGTATAGGTCTGATGAGCACGGTCTAGATAGCGTTGTTCTTGTCCCGGCACGAAATGGACCGTTTGGAAGTCAGGAAGATGTACAGCTAATCTATAAACCGTGTGCGACTTCTCTTGCATTGTAAAGCCGAAGATTCTGTACATACTTTGAGGCGCACATACGTAGCGAGTGTTCAGATGTTGTTTAATTTCATCCAAATTCGCGTTTTCATCTGCATTCCCATCGCTTTCAATATTGATGCGGGCCCTGTCTGGTCCTTTATAGATGTACTTATAGAGATACTTCACCGCTGAAATCATTCCACAAATCTCGAGGTTAACGTGACAGTCGAACTTCATCAAGAGGTACGGATTTGATGGAACAACCCACTCGTCACCGTACAGGACACCGTTGATTTCCACGGGTGAACGGTTGCGACGCCTGTAAGTTGGGGTATCCATCGACATCCAGTGACGTACTCTCTCGTAACTGCTTTGGAAATCGTTTCGAGCAAGTTCCGTTCCTCATGCAAGGGGAGTCCGTCTTTCCGCACTGTCTATGAATCATATAGGAAGTCACCGCAGCGTGAAGATCTGGCTCTTCTACGGGGTTAGGGATTTCCGCACATATAGACCTATCTACATCGTCTGCTGTTCTCACTCTCCATCCTTCCTTCATTATTAAGAGCATATGACAGTGTGGGAGACCTCGCTTTTGAAATTCGACTACGTACACGTAGGCTTGTACTTCTCCAAGAACATGTCTTTTGAAAAGATCATCACAAAGTTCTTGTAGTTTGGCGTTGAAAACACGCGCAACCAAGTCTGGGCGATCTGATGCGGTCTGGCCACTAAGAAGATTTTCTTGGATTTCCTTCCACTGAGGGTTGCATGTTATCGTCAGGAAATAAGTTGGTCTTCCATACCGTGCGACTATAGCCATAGCGTCCTGATATGACTGTTGCATGGACCGCGGACTGCCGAAATGAGACGATGACAAAATCACTCGATTTCCTGGCGGGCCGGAATTGTCTTCACCGGCAAGATAATCTTGGAGGCCTCTGTATGAGTCGGCGCGTAAGGCAGGTTGATTTCGCCTTTGGAAATTTAGCCGATTTTGCTCTATCTTCACGTAAGCATCGACCGCGAACTGTTGGAACAGCTTTCCTGCATAAAGAATAGGGTTGAAGGTGTCGCGTATCGAAAACAAATAAGAATAGTATTCTTTTTGTGTGATGCGACCTCCGTCGATGTTAGTCATACTTGGTTCCCACCCACCTTCTCCCGTCGGAAACAGAAGAGGGTACGTGAGGGGATCGCATATTTTATCGATATCACGAATATTCATAAGCTGTTCTCCAGAAGCGTTCCGCAGATGGACAGCGAAGCTCCGTGTAGCAGGGACATCGTTGTCTTCTCCAACGTAAACAACTGCTACTTCATTTGCTGTCGGCAGGTCGTATTGACGACGTCTCAATCCTCTCTCATTGCTTTCTTCGAATATCATGCGTATCGTCAAAGGAGCACGGTTCTCGCGAGCTGCTGCTGCAAGTTCTGCCTGCTCCAACCTCGCTCATCATCTTGAAAGACTGAGCATACACGTTGATATTAGACAACAACTCGCTGAGAAAATGCATTAGTTGTGGATCGCAGTCAACATTTCGCGTGTTTCCGAGACGTTGCTGAACCGCCATTTCCGTGTCTAGAATGTAGATCTGCCCATACTGACGTCGCTCTCCAACATTTGGATGGAGAGGACCAATGCGGTGGTAGATTTGCCCGTGAATCCTGTAGCAGTACGGACCACGCCCTCGAAGAATATCTACCTGTGCTCCCATCGAAGCCATTGCCAAGGCTGAGTTAAAGTTTCTTATATTCTCCAGAAAGTTCCTTTGTAGGCGACGGTGTTCTGCAGTCGACTCAGATCTTTGAATGAAAAGTTCTCGAAGGCTTTCTGGAAGTTGGCAAACATATTCAGATCTATTCGACCCAGATCGCAGCATTCTAGGAATAGGCCTGGGTGATTTCGCTTAACTTCGCAAAGGAAGTGTCGGGCTCCGCAGTGCATACACGCTTGATTCAGCTCTCCCAGGTAGTGAATCTCGGTCGTTCGTGAACGCAACGCTATTCCAGCGAGCTCGCCTGTCCCCATGCGCCTTTGACGGCGACGTGAAGCTTCTGCTTGCAATCGGGCAGTTCTGTTCTCGGGATTTTCTATGCTACGTCTCAAAGCGCTGTCGCTGAGAATTTTCCACTTGCCGGGTGGTTCGCTGATCGGTATCTTCTGCTTGTCGTCTGCGACGCTGACGTTCAGCGTTTTCCGCACGCCGAGTGGAGTGTTCTTCGGGGGTTTCTAATTCGCGTCTGTTTCGTTGACGTTGAGCGTTTTCCGCACGCCGAGCAGAGTGTTCTTCTGTGCTCTCTTGATCACGCCTGCGACGCTGACGTTGAGCGTTTTCTCTCTGACGCGTGGTCCGCTCTTGGGGGCTTTCAGCCTCTCGGCTACGACGCTGACGTTCCGCGTTATTCTCACGTCGAGCTGAACTTTCCTCGGAATTTTCTAGGCTACGTCGCAGGGACTGTCGTTGAGCGTGTTCCAGTCGACTATGGATTCGCTGGTCATCGGTCTGTAAAGCACGTCTCACTCGATGGCGTTGGGCATCTTCAGCTAATCTCGCACTTCGTTCTTCCGCACTTTCAATTTGACGCAATGACTGGTGTCGTTCAGCATCTGCACGTTGCCTAGCATTCCTGGATTGAGTATCCTCAGTCAGACGTCTACGCCGCTGACGAAGGGAATCTGACTCCAAGCGGGTGGATCTCTCTTCATCAGTTTCATGCAATCGTCGGCTGCGCTGGCGTGCAGTGTCACTCTCGTGAATCCTTGGTCGTCCTCTCTGCCTTCCCTGTTCCATTCCTAAAGTGTATTCACGGTTTTGTAGCTTGGTCAAACTTATCGGTTTGAATCTGAAGTAGCAATCGTGACTATCTTAAATAAGATTAATAGACTTCAGGTCATGTATCCGAAGAACCCAAAAGAAGTTTTTAGGTCATTTGCTGCTTTTTTTGTAGGGTCGAAAAGTAGGTGGTCTCGGAAATTGGAGATTGCACTTGGCAGTTGTTGATCTCCTAGGAACGGATATGGGAAAAAAGGTCTCAATATGTTGGTTCGAACTTTCACCAACAGGGGTGTTGACACTTTAATGGTATTGGGCGTCGCAACGCAACCGTGATCGAAATAACATCGAAATCAGCCGTAAGAAAATGCTAATTATATGAACGTGAATTCAGATGAAATTGCAAAAGAAATCGCGAAAAAGCAGTTTGGATCTCAACTAATCACTCGTGTTTTGGAACCACTAATAGTTTTTTTCGAGTCGTATGTTTATTGAGATCGAGATCCCCAGAGTAGTAGGTCAAAATGATACTACATTGCTCCTACAGGAAGTCTCTTGGTAAATGAGATGCTTCTGGAAATACCCTTGCTATGGTATACCTTTGCTATGGTATCCTCTATTGCAAGTGGAACTTGACCCAGTCAATCTGAAGTTCTGGAGAACGTATTGGTCGGACTTTTCAGCAAATAAAAAACACCGCTTTTTCGCTAAGGAATAATTAGCGTGACATGATATCATCAAATTCTGACATGATACGGTGCATTAAGTTACAATTCATGATCACTTTCATGAATTTCATGGCTTCCATGATTAAAGGTAGTTAGCGCGATAAGTCTCCAACCCATGTAGGAGATTGATACGCTCAGCACGACTGAATTCTGTGCCCATGAGCAGACGCTGCGTAGCGCCCTTCCAACAAAGGTGCCCTTATAAGACCCTATCAAGCTGCAACATACCGACCCGGACGCCCACCGCGCCCGCCCGCCCACAAATGGACGACCGTACCTGATGCTGCTATTGCTTCATTTGCAAAGTACTGTATTAGGCAAAGGGACTAATGGCTGGGCGGCTGTGGCGCTGCATGGGTGTATGAGTGCATACGCAGCCGTATCTTCCGCACCGGTTTTGGCACCGTACCCACGGGGAACTTGTCCGAAACTGATCTCTGAGTCGGGTCGAAGGAGGGCTTTTTTGCACGTTTTTGACCGTTTCACTTAGTTTTTTGGCCACTTTTCCACTACTTACCTGCCCTGCTACCATTTGGGGCACAATACCAAATTATCGTGCGGACTGCCTTTAAACTGGGTAGCCAGTTCACAATGCTCAACAGTTAGAACTGCAGAAATTCACCGATCTTCTATGTTAGCGGTACCGGCAGAGAAGTAACTGCCTGACCGAGAAATCATACATGCGTCATGGTGATTTTTTTCAAAAGATTTCGCGTAAGCTATGGGAGTGGATTCGTGGAACAAAAGAAGTTATTCTTTTGTAATCTTTGCGACAGTGAAAACATGAAATACTCGGAATAATTCTGAGCTTTTTTTCGACCGTATCGGGTTTGACACCAATACAACAGTGCAAAAGAGGCGAACCATGGTCTCTCACTGCAAACACCACGCATGGTCGTGCGCATTGTTTCAGAAATCGAGAGCTCTGAGTTAGCTATGCGATTGGATTGATAAAAACAGAAAAAAGACTCAGGCCAGTAATAACCACAATGACACGAACATCCAACTTCTGCTAGAACTCTGGCCTTATTCTGCTGCAAATTAGGCTTTGATATACATGGCACACTAATAGAATTGAATTATGAACTTCTTGTAAGAGTGTTATGTGTGCATCATATCGGAATTCAAGAATATTCGCCGGTGCGGTGAAAAGGCTGCTACCAGGTTGCCAGCGCCTGGAGAGTGGTCCTCCCCTCGCCAAGCTCGGGTGCGTACGGTTAATTGTCCCATTCGTGCCAAGCGGATGAGTTAGCGCGGTGAAACGTACATCATGCGGGCAATGCCTGAGGCGGCAGAACGGAACAAAGCTACGCAGACGTAGGAATGAATTTTACACCACCTTCTACACACCACCTTGCGTACCGTACTCCTCAGCTCACGCCTAATTCTGAGGATGAGTTTTCTTGTCCGCGCTTAACAAAGCTGTATTAATGGTTTCTTTGCGGCTAACCACTTTTTTATGATTTCTGTTCTGATATCATTTATATTTCTTTCGTACTATCCCATCTCACACCTTAATTTTGATGATTTCTTTCGCGCACAACCAAGTTAATGGATTCTTTCGGTACTAGTCCATTTTAATAATGTTGTTTCGTGATATCACAGGTTTAACAAGATGATGGTTCTTTCGTGATATCATTAAAATGGTTAGCGCGTCGCATAGAACATAGGACGGAAGGCGGCTATAATTGAAGTGTGAGAAGCGCTTACCGTGTGCCGAAGAATCAGAAATATCTGTTGATGCCACTACGTGGCCAAGCGAGCGGGCGGGCTCGACGTGTGAAGAAATCGGAGGTGCCACCCGTGTACGCCAGAGGGAGTGCACTACCTAAAAAGGGCGTCGCATAGAACATAGGACGGAAGGCGGCTATAAATGAAGTGTGAGAAGCGCTTACCGTGTGCCGAAGAATCAGAAATATCTGTTGATGCCACTACGTGGCCAAGCGAGCGGGTGGGCTCGACGTGTGAGATCGGAGGTGCCACCTCGTTACCGGGGAGTGCACTACCTAAAAAGGGCGTCGCATAGAACATAGGACGGAAGGCGGCTATAATTGAAGTGTGAGAAGCGCTTACCGTGTGCCGAAGAATCAGAAATATCTGTTGATGCCACTACGTGGCCAAGCGAGCGGGCGGGCTCGACGTGTGAAGAATCGGAGCGTGCCACTCGTTACCAAATGGGGGGAGTGCACTACCTAAAGAGGCGTGCCTAGAACATAGGGACGGAAGGCGGCTAATAAATGAAGTTAGTGAGAAGCGCTTCGTGTGCGAAGTTAATCGAATATCTGTTGATGGCCACTGACGTGGCCATAGCGGGCGGGCTCGACGTGTGAAGAAATCGGAGGTGCCACCTCGTTACCGGGGAGTGCACTACCTAAAAAGGGCGTCGCATAGAACATAGGACGGAAGGCGGCTATAATTGAAGTGTGAGAAGCGCTTACCGTGTGCCGAAGAATCAGAAATATCTTGATGCCACTCCGTGGCAAGCGAGGCGGCGGGCTCGACGTGTGAAGAAATCGGAGGTGCCACCTCGTTACCGGGGAGTGCACTACCTAAAAAGGGCGTCGCATAGAACATAGGACGGAAGGCGGCTATAATTGAAGTGTGAGAAGCGCTTACCGTGTGCCGAAGAATCAGAAATATCTGTTGATGCCACTACGTCGACGGTGCCAAGCGGAGCGGGGCGGCGCTCGACGCTAATGAAAGGAAATCCGAGGTGCCACCTCGTTCCGGTGGGGGGGAGTGCACCTACCTAAAAGGGCGTCGCATAGAACATAGGAGGGAAAGCGCTATAATTGAATGGTGGTGAGATGCGCTTAGCCGTGATGCGACAGGAACTGAAATATCTGTTGAGCACTACGTGCCAAGCGAGCGGCGCCAGGGCTCGGACGTATGAGACAATCGGAGTGCCACCTCAGTCGTTACGGGGAGTGACACTGTACCGTAAAAGAGGGGCGTCGCGATAGAACATCCGCCGCAAGGCGCGTATACCTCTGAAGTGAGCTTGAGAAGCGCTTACCGTGTGCCGAAGAATCAGAAATATCTGTTGATGCCACTACGTGGCCAAGCGAGCGGGCGGGCTCGACGTGTGAAGAAATCGGAGGTGCCACCTCGTTACCGGGGAGTGCACTACCTAAAAAGGGCGTCGCATAGAACATAGGACGGAAGGCGGCTATAATTGAAAAAAGTGTGAGAAGCGCTTACCGTGTGCCGAAGAATCAGAAATATCTGTGTTGATGCCACTACGTGGCCAAGCGAGCGGGCGGGCTCGACGTGTGAAGAAATCGGAGGTGCCACCTGTTGGAGCGGGGGGGGCAGGGGAGTGACGTGACCTAAAAAGGGCGTGCGCGAGTGGAGAGAGCGAGTGGAGAAGGGAGACACGCAGTAAGTGAGAGAGGAGCGGAGGCGCGTTACGGGGGGGGAAAGTGTGCCGAAAGACTGGAAATATCGTGGTGATAGCAACTATTGGCCAGAAAAGGGACTTGACGCGCCTTACTGGTGGGCGCGGATAAAATCTGAAATATTTCACGAAAGAAATTCTTAAATTGGAGTAGTACAAAAGAGAATCATTCTTGTGAAGCCGTACAGGACTGGGGCGAGATATAATTATATTGCATACCTGCTCTTTGGGGGCGAGGGTTCCACGTTCCGGACGCTTAGAAAAAAATGCGACATGACGAAATTGGAATCTGCGAACAATGATGAAAAGTAACGACGAAAATGCGGTGACGGGGCATCGATTGGTATTTACGCAGATTCGGAGCGTTTCCGAGTAATTGCGAATCTGCAGGAGAAATGACGGAAAGGATTAAATAGCGCGTGGTCAAGACTTCGGCTGAGAGCAGCGGCTTACCGGTCGGCCGGCGTTCGACGCCGGATCCAATGCAGTAGAAAGCATACGCATCGAACGCGCCGCCGAAGCGTTACCGTCGCGAGGTCTGAGTGTAGCCACACATATCGATTTTTCGCAATTCTTTCCACATTGCAGGAACGAAGAGATGCGGAATTTGCTGAAATGGTGAAAAGAAATGCGAAAATGCGGAGTTGGCAGAAAGGGCAAAGGTCAATAGATAATGCATAGAGAAAAACGCAGATGTGGGGAATCTACAGTAATGCGGAGTCTGCAAAACGACGATAAGGATTAGATGAGAATTCTCTCTGTTTGCCAGACTTCGCGAGAGCAACGCTCGGTCGCGGGTTCGGTAAGATCAATGCAGTAGAAACAAATGTGCGCATCGATCGCATCAAATGGGCCACCGGAGCGCTGCCATACACATCGATTTTTCGCAGCCG